TTTGCACACCCAAATTCTGTGTTGTTTCCTAGCAACCTAGGCATTACAGGGACCACCAAAATGTCACTTGTGGGTTAGGGTAAAGCCCTTCTGCTTTTTCCCACAAGAAGTCGCCTGACCTAAAAGGCAGGAAACAGCCACATAAGGAGGTCTGTGTCCCAGGGGACTCTACAGTTATAAAGTAGAATGCCATTTTTATGCAGTTTCTCATGTCCAGTTCATTTTAATACTAGCACAAACCGAGAAAGCCGTGTTTCAGAAACAAACTCAAAAAGTGGTCATGTAACTTACTGTGAACCAAGACTGTGAAGACAGAGAACCACTACAAACCAAAACACCGAAGATGCCCTCACAGATCTATGAGGTTCTGAACTGCAGAAGCCAGAGAGCTTGTTCAGGGAGGGAAAGAAGGAGGACAGTGCCTTTGACTCCCAGGGACCGTCTCACTTCCCCATTTTCACCATCACTCAAGTCAGAACAAGCAAGAATACTTCATCTGTGTGAGGGAGTGAACTTGTTCATGGTGAATGGAAATTTCCCCTCCCTATTTTTCTAATTCAAGTTTTTGTCTCTGACCTTCAATTCTTCTTGGTTTGGAAGGCAGTAACAGTCTCTCTGAATTGGTTGATTGTATATAGCCTTAAACACTAAGCAACTAACTTTAAAATCTGTGACCTGTGTATTTGACATCAGAAGCAAGTGAGTAGAACTGGCCATTTCCTTGGTAGTCACAAGTATTAGCATCAAAATGTCTTTTCTCCTTTTTGAGATGTTTATCACAGAAAGGAGTCATATTGTATCCCACAGGAGGTCAGGCAGAACTCAAGTTGCACCAGAAGGTCCTGGCTCACAGCTCAGAATGCTGGATTTTATTTTTCACCCCTTTGCATTATGGCATTATAATTCTGATTTTAACCATCCTGTCTCTCTTTACAGGTGTTTCTTTAACATTTTATGGGAGGATGTGAACACAGGTCCATTTAGTCACATAGGACACTATCAATAGATCAAAGTATCAATTCACCAAAGTCCAATCCAGTGAACCTAGGAGCGTAGTAGGTTTACTTACAGAATGTAAATATGATATTACTTCAAGAGTCAGAGTAACCTAAACAACTAGCTGCTTCACTGAAAATTCCCACCCACCATGAATGACCACATCATGGAAGCTGCATCATGGAGTTTTCCCACTCAGCTAACCTACATTATACTCAATAACCCCCCTAGGATCACTAGCAGTTGAGAAAGGACAGAAGGGAATAATAGCTGGAATCCATGATGAGGGTCCCGGGATTCTCTCTTCCTCTCCCTACTAAGAAATGCTGACAATTGCATTATCATTGCCTGGCTATTTCATACTAGTCTATTCCACTCATGACAAGGTTACCAGGTGAACTATCTACACCCAGATGATGATCATTTTCTGCCTGGAAGAGAAAGCCACACCACAGCAGCTGGAATCTCCACATGCTAGAATGCACTCTGCCACTGAGCTACACTCCAGTCCTGCAGTTGGACCTTGAGTCCCAAATCCAGAGTGTCCAGTTCATCCTCTCCAAAGGGTGATTGTGCCATCTGTCCTCAGGTGCTTCTCTCTCCTGGGAATGAAGAGCAAATCATTTAAATGACTTCTTAGACAGCCTTCTGATCTGTCCTGTTGTCTGTGGGTGGCCATGCTTGCTGCATCCCGATTCTCTTAGTGTTTTCCAGGTTGTAGGGCAAGACCCAGACTGCCTTTTTTCTGAATGTCTCTTTCCGGGAACACTTGAGGATTGATTCCCCACATCTTAAATTCCCGTTCTCCCTGTACAGGTTACAGCTTTTGTGCTTTTTCATTGGTACTGTCTTTTCCATGTGTTTTTAGGTGAATTGGAGGAGTTGGAACCTTGTGTCTAGCACACTTCTTCAAACACCAGCTCCAAGTACATTCTATAGATGATGGTGCACTGTGGCAACTTTTGACCTTTGAAGTTGGTTTCTACAGTCAAATATCTGACAGACCACAGTCAACTTCCAACTTCATTGGTCTAAATCCCACAATGCTAATCACATCTAATTCCTTTATCCTTGGAAACAGGATCAATGAATTAATAATTATGAACAAATTGTACATTCTTTCCCATTATAATATAACAAAATTATCTGGGATCTCTAAACCACCTAAAAAAAAGTGGCAAAATTCACATTTTTTTTTTTTTTACCAAAGGAGAGTAAAGTCTGGGCTCAAAATTATATATGCTTGCTGTTTTATGTTTAAAGCATTTGCTCACTATTTCACATGAAACAAAAATTAAGATTGAATATTGTCACTGCCTGTAACTCCTGCACCAGAAGAAATAACTTTTGAAATCGGAATCACCCCTTCGCTTTGGAGTAGTTACAATGAATCATTGATAGTGGTTTGGCTCTGGATGCTGAGTAAATATTTGTCTATTCAACGCCCAAGAAAGCACAAGTTCATAACTGTTCAAATGTGTGTAATGAAAATCCTATTTTGTCAACAGAATGCACAAAGTTGTACAGATTACAACTGTATGTTCTGGAACACTGGGTTAGGAGGGTACAAAGGAGATGGCGAGTGACCTTTTCTGGTTTCTGTCATTTAGAATTCCCCCAAATCCATCTCAGTCTGTATTATTAAAGAATCAATATTAATCTGACAAAACAGTGGCATTGCTCTTGATTTTTTAATAGAATGCTCAAACAATGACTTAGAGATAATACTGGACCCCTCTAAGGCCAAGCAGAGGAACTCCCATTGTTGGAAATAGAGTTGACTATCAAGTTGACAATTTGTATGACTTAGGAGCTTCCTTCCTAGGCTGATCCTGGGCATGCTGCTTTGGGGTTCTGGTGGTTTTTTGTTCAAGAAAGTACACAGCTCCCTAAGCTGATGACTTCTGAAGGAAACATACAGTTGGGTATGTTAGTTTGAGTCTGTCTCATTTTTAAAGTCCCTTTACTTCCTAGTGACCTTTGGTGCTCTAACATGGAAATTAGTTGGGACAGTGGAAGACAAGACCTTTTGTGAACGATATTAGGAAAGTTGTTCACATTGCTTTATTTATACTTAAAAGTATTGATTTATGGGTGTCTTATTTAGGATTTCAATTGCTGTGCATAGACACCATGACCATGGGAACTTTAACAAAGCAAAAGCACTTAATTGGGGTGACTTACATTTTCAGAGGTTCAGTCGATTATCATCATGGTAGGGAGCATGGCAGCATGCGGGTAGTCATGGTGTTGCCTACATCTTGATATGCAGGCAACAAATAGGAAGTAGACTGTCTCACTGGGGGTAGCTTGAGTATAAGAGACCTCAAAGCCCACTGCCACACTGACACACTTCCTCCAACAAAGCAACACTTCCCAATAATGCCACTCCCTTTGGTGGCCATTTCCTTTCAAACCACTGCAGGGGTCCAGGTCCACGATGGTAGTGACAGTAGCTGGATTTCTTGACTATTGGTTGGATCTTGAACTTCACCCAAAACAGGGTTGGATCAAAACAGGGAGACCTCAGCTCTGATACGGAAGACCCTCACTTTTTCCCTCGCACTGGCCTGTGTAGTGAGCATGTGGAAGAATTAACTGAAGTCACATAGTTGAGAACACAGGGGATGCAAGTTCATCACTACTTCCATTTCTGCATCAGGACCAAGCCCTTTCCCTGGGGAGAAGGTAACTATACCCTCTCCCATAACTCTCATGTGACTGTGCTTCATCCAGCTCTGAAGATGAATAAAGAGGATCCCAAGTTGGCCCATAGTTACTGCAGGATATTTGTTTACTCTGAGCAAAGATGTGTCTATGTATTTCCTCACTTGCCTAAGGCACCTAATTAGTTTAATAAAGATCTGAATGGCCAATAGCTAGGCAGGAGAGAATAGGCAGGAATTCCAGGCAGAGAGAGGAATTCAGGGTTAGCATCTGTCCTAGCAGGCGAAATCATTGAGACAGGAAGGGAGTTGTACATAAACAATGAAGGAGAGGTAAAGAGGCACATGGCAGAAAGACTAATAGAAACAGGTTAGTTAAGTCATAAGAGCTAGGTGGGAACAAGCCTAAGCTAAAGCCCATGCTTTCATAAATAATAATGTCTCTGAGTCGTTATTTGGGGGCTGGCAGTCCAAAGAAAGTCCAACAAAAAAGATTCAATATACACAGCACTGGTTTGCAGTATTACTCTGGGTGTGGATCAGAAGGCATGCAGGGCTTTAAAGTTGCTGTCTCTTATATCAAATGATGACCAGTATGTTGATCTTCTAGTTCTTTGCTCATGCTGGGAGATGACTACAATCAGTAACTTAAAACACAAACAAACCTGCCTGCTCATATGTTAGCACATGTCTTTAACCTAAGCATTCAGGAGGCACAAGAGTTCAAGCATACCCTAGTCTACATAGCCATTTCCAGACCAGCCAGATTCACAGTGAGATCTTGTCTCAAAAAGAAACCAAACCACTGGTTTGCAGCAATTCATAACACTATCAAGAAAGTCTAGAAAAGGAATCTGACTAAGCAGAGACATATGGCTGCTAAGGGATTCACTTCGTGGAAAGTTCTATGAAAGATAATTTTAAGTGAAAGAGATTATACAAAAAGGTCAATGTACACAGAAGCATTTAACTTTAAAAGACTGTTGATGTATAGTCACACCTTATTTTAAGCAGTAAAACATAACCACTTTTTTTCTTTAAGTTGGTCATATTCAAGATAAAATAAAATGAGCTCCCTGTTTTAGAAGGAGTGTTATCTCCTGGTTCTTTGTGAGCCAAGTCTTTCAATGGTGTCATTTTATCATTCTCTACAGCCCGGAACATCTCTGTTCAAACATTGGCAGGAAATGCTTTTCAAATTTGTGGATCAATAAGAACTTCCTGCTTGGCACTAAGCTCAAAAGGTAGAACCCCCAAACCACTAGAGGATGAAGGGAGGAGAAGATGCTTAAATACTGGGGACTGGCTGCTCTGGGCAACTGCTGAGTTGATTTCCAGGTCAACATGAAGGCTCTCCTCTCTCTGGGGCTCCTCCTGCTTTCTGTCACTGTCCAGGCCAAGGTCTATGAACGCTGTGAGCTCGTCAGAACTCTGAAAAGCCATGGAATGGATGGCTACTTGGGAATCACCCTGGCCAACTGTAAGTCTTTTGTTCTTGACCCCTCCAGATAATCACCCTCTGCATAACAGGTACAAGGAAGAAATCAGTGAGCAGAGAGGGAGCTGGAGTCAGTAAGCTTTTAGGATTTCTGCGTATTTGACTTGGTTTGATTAAAAACATTAGCGTTCATCTTTTTCATCAGAGATACTGAAGTGAGGGCATGGGAGAGGACATCTTCCCAGGCTAAGGCAATAGGACCTGAGGTGTTCTTGGAGAGTCACTAGGTTTTCCAGTTGCTTCAGACTCAATAGCCCACAGGGGGTGAGAAAAGATGGAAGGACTCACTCATTCAGAACTTGAGTTCTGATAGCCTGGAGTGACTGGGATGTGTCTTCATTTCTCTGACCATGGTATGGACCTTTAGAGAAAAAAACTTTCAAACCTTTTGAACTTCCTATGCAGGGCAGAGGGATCCTATTTTCTCCCTAGTCTCTTCTTAATAAGTGGGGTCTTCTGAACCTGAGAATGAAACGACTTGGTACAATTCTTCACTCTGGGAAGGTCTTTTATTCTGTATAATGGAAGATGTGGATGAGGAAAAGTTGTTCATAGCTTACTCCATCTACATCCTTGTAACTAGTGTGTTTTTCAGATTGGTTTAAGGTGGTTACCACTCAATAAGTAACTGTCCATTAAGGAACGAGTGAGCAGCCAGATGTATGTGTGGATGGTGGATGGTGGATGGGTGGGGGGCTTGGGTGGATGGATGGATTGATTTGTAGAATAACTTTTTCTGTTTTAACGTTCTCACTTTCAATATTCATTTGCCATTTGTGATGGTACACACTCCTGAAATCCAAGCAATGAGATGCTGAGGCAGGAGACTGCATGTTGTGTGCCAAACTAGGATACATAGTGACACAGAAGAAAAGAGATTCCTAACATGCAAATTCACCATTCATATAAGAACATCTCTATGAGAAAATCCTTAATTTCCTAATAGGAACATCTTTATTTGCATATGTGTTAGATATTCATTTATAAAACCCACCTAACTACTATTTGTGTTTCTATTTTAGGGAGGGATAGAGGATAGATGGAGTAGGGATAAGCAATGGAAGAAACAGCTATTTTATTTTGGGGAGGAGGAAGTAGGGTCTCACTGTATAGCACTGTCAGGCCTGGAACTTGCTGTGTAGACCAAGCTGATCTCAAACCCACACAGATTCATGTGCCTTTGCCTAAAGACTGCTGGGAATAAAGGTGACCACCACTGTGACTGGTTCATCTATTTGCAGGTTTAAAGGACCTTATCTTGTTTAATCTCAGTGCAATTAGATTTGTCCTCAAAGAGATTCTCTTTGGGGCACCTGAGAATTTTCACTTGCTGACTAGGTACAGCTGTTCCACCTAATTGAAAGGCAGAGGCAGGAGGATCACTTGAGACCAAGGACTACACTGAGTAACACAAACAGACCTGGCCTGAACTCGTGACCCCGTATTTTATAATTTAATTATATGGTTGCATTCATAATGTAAATCACTTGTAAAATATAGCCAGATCAAAGAGATAATTTTGGTTTCCAATATTAATCATTTGCTGTTGCTGCTTATTGATGAATATTCTTTTTCTTTGTAGGGGTGTGTTTGGCTCAGCATGAGAGTGACTTTAACACACAAGCTACAAACTACAACAGTTGGGACCAAAGTACCGACTATGGGATATTTCAGATCAATAGCCGATACTGGTGTAATGATGGCAAAACCCCCAATGCAGTGAATGCCTGTGGGATATCCTGCAGCGGTAAGACAAGGCGGGTCAGAGGGATAGCAAACACCCACCCTGCTCTTATGTGCAAGAGCAGAGATTCTGTGCAGGAGACATGACTGAAGGAAGCATCAGGAACCTGGGGAGACTGGACTGTTAGAAAGTCATTGTTACTCACATCAAAGTTAGCCAAGGAAGACATTAGGTTTAGGGCATAGCTTGGCGATAGAATGCCCTGCCACCTCCAAAATCACTGAATGAATACTCAATGTACACAGAGGCTGGTCAGGAAGCTCAGACAGAAGAGTCCCCTAAGTGAAGGTTTGACCCTCAGCACCCACATAACAGCTGAGTTTGGTGACGTGCATTGGTAAGACCAGCACTGGGGATTCTGAGACAGGCAGATCCATGGGGCTCACTGGCCAATCAGGATAGACTAATCTGTAAGCCCGTTCCAGTGGCAGACCCTGTTTCAAAAACAATGTGGACTACTTCCAGGGAACAGCTCCTGGGGTGTCCTCTGATTTCTACATATACATACATATATGTGCAGGTTCTCTAGTGCACATACCAGCACACACAGACACAAACGTTAAATTAATAGAAAATAGGAAGTAAAGAGCTGGTATCCTTAAAACTTGGTGGGATTTTTTAACCTATACTGACATGCACTCATCCATACACAGACACATACTTATAATTAAGAAAAACAAACATTTATGCCGGGCGGTGGTGGCGCACGCCTTTAATCCCAGCACTCGGGAGGCAGAGCCAGGCAGATCTCTGTGAGTTCGAGGCCAGTCTGGTCTCCAAAGCGAGTTCCAGGAAAGGCGCAAAGCTACACAGAGAAACCCTGTCTTGAAAAACCAAAAAAAAAAAGAAAAAAAAAGAAAAACAAACATTTATAACACGTTGTCATTTTATAACATGAAAATTTCTGGAATATACACTAATTAATTGTAAGTGGGCTTATTGATGATTTGTCCTGGAGATTTCCATTCTAGCTGTTTACTTACGGGAAGTTATGGAAATTGTCACAAGGTCATTTTTGGCTAAATGAATTTTATAATAAAGATTTCTAACATATACAAATGAAGATATTTCTATAATAACAGCCATATGAGAAAGTATCACTGAATAACCGCCATTTTGTCCAACTGGCTTCTCTGTGTATGTATTGATTTACTCTTTGTGTGGAGGGATTTTAGAGTGAGTTACTAATGTCCAGTTCTGTTTTTAAACTCTTTATTTTGCATGTCCAAACAATCTAATTCTTAGACAGAAATTATCTGATCTAACAATAACACAGATTTATGTATTTAAGATAAAACTTATTTTTAACAAGAAACAAACGAACAAGGTTCATATCAGGATTATGGTCTGGGATGGTAGAACTTGCGCTCATGCTGTGAGAGAGGGAATATGTAATTTTTAGTGCATGAATTAAATTGGTCAATGGTGTTCTACTTTTCCAGTGTGTGAATTGAACCCAAAGCTTGCTACCATATGGATGCTGGGAATCAAGTCCTCTGGAAGAGCATCCAGCGCCCTGAGCCACTGAGCCATCTGTCCAGCACCTGTTTTGCTTTAGGATGAATTTAGAATGGTATCCCCAGGTGACAGTTATTGGTGGGCTCTATTTTCCAGTGTGAGGAAAAAAGTGTATCCCAACCCCCCAGGGACTTTATAAATGAGAAATAAAATGACTTACACCATGTCACCTGCATAGAATCAAGAGAGGCTGTCTCCAATAATCACAGATGCAGGGACACTTGCAAAATAATTTCTTGTATGCACTGCTCAGCGTCACAGAAGAAAGCTGGCTGGACCTGAACTGAAAGTGGTTTCTGTAACAGTCCTTGTCCTTCCCCACCCCTGTCTTTCAGTTTTGCTCCAGGATGACATCACTCAAGCCATACAATGTGCAAAGAGGGTTGTGAAGGATCCACAAGGCATTAGAGCATGGTATGTTGGAACTCTGGAAGGGGGAACTGCTGGTTCTGTTGATATGTGTGTTGAGTCTTTCTAAGACCCAAGTGTTATTCTGAGCACTGTGGGTACAGCTGGGGCCTTTCACTCCATCATTAGGTTTAGAGAATTTCTCCAGATTGTGAGAATTCCCACACACGACTGCTTCCTTGTTAGGCCCCCAGACTATTTGTATCATCAGTTAACAACAGTTCTGTACCCGTGATGTCACAGTGACATTGAGCATCCTGTGCTCTGCCCAGGGTTTGGAAAGGATCGAACGGCCTTGTAGACACAGCTCCACCAGTCAGTAGTGGGTTCTGGGTGCAGCTGTAGCTAGAAAGCAATCTCCATGAGTTTCACTGTTACACTATTTCCCTCACAGGCTTGAGAATGTGGGTGACAGAGGACACAATTCTAACCATTTTCCTCCTGTCTCATTTTCCTCCACAGGGTGGCCTGGAGAAGCCACTGTCAAAACCAAGATCTCACCCAGTACATTCAAAACTGTGGGGTCTAACCGCCGTGTGCCTCCACCTCAGCTCACTCTGTCTCTTTCTTGCTATAGAAGTAGTTGTGAGAAAGGTCGCATTTCCTCGGTTTCCCCTTCAGATAAGCAGGTTTATATCAGAAACAGGAGCAACATGGAGACTGTTTCCTAAGAGGCTTAGAGCTGACTAATGTGCTCACTGTTTTATGGAAAGCCTCCATTTATTCAGTTAGCCAAAGCAGCAGATTCTGGTGACAGTGATCTAGCATTGAGTGTCACATACATCTCTATACATCAGCTCTTCACCTATGAAGTAATTCACATTAAATTTTATTGGAATTAATCTTCATCTCTCCACTGTTGGATAGACGTAAAACAAATATGTAAGGAGACAGTAGATCTTGGGTGAAATGGCAACTGTTTGAGCTCCCAGGCTCAGCCCCCAGACAGTTAAGAACAGCCACTCTGTGGGGCAAGGCTGGTTTTTAAGGGAACAGGTCTCTGAATGGATAGAACTGAGACTGCCTCGATTCAGAAACTTGATATCATGAAATGTATGACCTTTCAAAAGCGAATTACCTTAGAGTTGGCCCATTTAGAGTGCTTAATAGTAGATTCTTACCTCATGTTTCAGTCTGTGTTAACCCTTGAGAGAATGATCCATGCCTCTAGCTGATCATGAGGTATTCAGGACAGATTAGTCTCTGTGCTAGCCCTTAACTTTCTTATGGTACCTTCATATGTATCAACTAACTCTGAGACAGATGAGACTGTATCAGCAAAACTAAGCATATTTGAAAAAATAAAAATGAGCATTAAATGATTTCAATGCACAATTTGTCTTTACTATCATATGCAGTCTCTGGGGAAATGGTTTATATATTGGGAAAAATCAACATGACAATCTTAATAGGGTCTATGTTCAGCACCTACATCCTTACCTAAATATAACCAGCATCTACATCCTCACCTATACATATCCTGTGCCTATATCCTCGCCAACACATAGCATGTGCCTATATCTGCACCTACACGTAGCCGTTGCCTACACCCTGGTTACATACAACAAGTTGGATATTCTGGGGTAATATTCACAAGCCTGCTGACCCATCTCCCTTGGCCCGAATAGGTCCTGGACGAGGTAATCCCCACACAGTGAAACCTCCAGTCCTGTAGACAGGAAGACATTGCTACAGTGACAGCCAGTTGCCTTGTGTTGTTCTAGCATTTTGATGCCATCACTTCCTTTCTTTTTTTATTATTTACATTTCTTTTTTTCTATTTTATAATTAATTTAATTTTATATATCAGCCACGGTTTCCCCTGTCGTCCTTCCTCCCCTCTCCCATCCTATGCCCTCCCCCAATTCACCCCCATTCCCACCTCCTCCAAGGCAAGATCTCCCCTGGGGAGTCAGCTCAACCTGGTAGATTAAGTTCAGGCAGGTCCAGTCTCCTCCTCCCTGCACCAAGGCTGAGCAAAATATATCAGCATAGGCCCTAGGTTCCAAAAAGTCAGCTCATGCACTAAGGAAAGGTCCTGGTCCCACTGCCTGGGGGCCTCCTAAATAGTTCAAGCTAATCAACTGTCTCACTTATCCAGAGGGCCTGGTCCAGTTCCATGGGGGCTCCTCAGCTATTGGTTCATAGTTCATGTGTTTCCACTAGTTTTGCTATTTGTCCCTGTGCTTTTTCCAATCATTGTCTCAATATCTCTTGCTCATATAATTCCTCCTCTCTCTCTTGCCAATTGGACTCCTGGAGCTCCACCTAGGGCTTGGCTGTGGATCTCTGCATCCACTTCCATCAGACACTGGATGAGAGTTCTATCATGACAGTTAGGGTATTCAGCTATCAGATCGCCAGAGTAGGTCAGCTGAGGCTTTCTCTCGACCATTGCCAGTAGTCTATTGTGGAGGTATCTTTGTGGATTTCTGGGGACCTCTCTAGCACTTGGCTTCTTCCTATTCCCATGGGGTCTTCATTTATCATGGTATCTCTTTCCTTGTTCTCCCACTCTGATCCTGATCCAGCTGGGACCTCCTGCTCCCCTAAGCTCTCTTTCCCCCAACCCTTGCCCTCCATTACCCCCTCACCTCCAGTTTACTCATGTAGATCTCATTCATTTCTATGTCATTGAGCGATCCCTGTGTCTTTCTTAGGGTTCTCTTCACTAGGTAGCCTCCCTGGAGTTGTGAGTTGCAGTCTTGTTATCCTTTGCTTTACATCCTTTATCCACTTATGAGTGAGTACATGCCATGTTTGTCTTTCTGAGTCTGGGTTACCTCACTCAGGATGATTTTTTCTAGTTCCACCCATTTGCCTGCAAACCTCATGATGTCATTGTTTTTCTCTGCTGAGTAGTACTCCACTGTGTATATGTACCACATTTTATTTATCCATTCTTCAGTTGAAGGGCATCTAGGTTGTTTCCAGGTTCAGGCTATTACAAATAATGCTGCTATGAACATAGTTGAGCATGTGTCCTTGTGTATGATTGAACATTCCTTGGGTATATGCCCAAGAGTGGTATAGCTGGGTCTTGAGGGAGATTAATTCCCAGTTTTCTAAGAAAGCACCATATTGATTTCCAAAGTGGTTGTACAAGTTTGCTTTCCCACCAACAGTGGAGGAGTGTTCCCCTTGCTCCACATCCTCTCCAATATAAGCTCTCTTCAGTGTTTTTGATCTTAGCCATTCTGAAGGGTGTAAGATGGTATCTCAGAGTCATTTTCATTTGCATTTCCTTGATGATTAAGGTTGTTGAGCAATTCCTTACATGTCTTTCAGCCATTTGAACTTTTTCTGTTGAAAATTCTGTTTAGCTCTATAGCCCATTTTTAAATTGGACTGTTGGTTATTTTGATGTCTAATTTCTTCAGTTCTTTATATATTCTGGATATCAGCCCTCTGTCAGATGTGGGGTTGGTGAAGATCTTTTTCCATTCTGTAGGCTGTCGTTTTGTCTTATTGACCATGTCCTTTGCCCTACAAAAGCTTCTCAGTTTCAAGAGGTCCCATTTAATAATTGTTTCTCTCAGTGTCTGTGCTACTGGTGCTATATTCAGGAAGTGATCTCCGGTGCCAATACGTTCAAGAGTACTTCTTACTTTCTCTTCTATCAGGTTCAGAGCAGCTGGATTTATGTTGAGGTCTTTGATCCACTTGGACTTAAGTTTTGTGCACAGTGACAGATATGGATTTGCAATCTTCTACATGTTGGCATCCGGTTATGCCAGCACCATTTGTTGAAGATTCTTTCTTTTTTTCCATTGAAAAACTTTTGGCTTCTTTGTTGAAAATCATATGTTCAAAGGTGGTGGATTAATGTCAGGGTCTTCAGTTCGGTTCCTTTAGTCCATATGTTGGTTTTTATGCCAGTACCAAGCTGTTTTTATTGCTGTAGCTCTATAGTAGAGCTTGAGGTCAGGGATGGTGATGTCTCCAGAGGTTGTTTTATTGTACAGGATTCTTTTGGCTAACCTGGGTTTTTTGTTTTTCCATATGAAGTTGAGTATTGTTCTTTCCAGGTCTGTGAAGAATTGTATTGGGATTTTGATGGGAATTGCATTGAATCTGTAGATGGCTTTTGGTAAGATTGCCCTTTTTACTACATTAATCCTACCTATCCATGAGCATGAGAGATCTTTCCATTTTCTGACATCTTCTTCAATTTCTTTTTTTCAGGGACTTAAAGTTCTTGTCATACAGGTCCTTCACTTGCTTAGTTAGAGTTACCTCAAGGTATTTTATATCATTTGTGGCTATTGTAAAGGGTGATGTATCTCTGATTTCTTTAACAGCCTATTTGTCATTTGTATATAGGAGGGCTACTGATTTTTTTTTTTTGAGTTAATCTTGTATCCTGCTGCATTGCTGAAGGTGTTTATAAGTTGTATGAGTTCCTTGGTCGAATTTTTGGGGTCACTTATGTATACTATCATGTCATCTGCAAATAGTGAAATCTTGACTTCTTCCTTTCCAATTTGTATCCCCTTGATCTCCTTATGTTGTCTTATTACTCTGGCTAGAACTTCAAGTACTATATTGAATAAGTATGGGGAGAGTGGACAGCCTTGTCTTGTTCCTGATTTTACTGGCATCGCTTTGAGTTTCTCTCCATTTACTTTGATGTTGACTTTTGGCTTGCTGTAAATTGCCTTTATTATGTTTAGGTATGTTCCCTGTATTCCTGATCTCTCCAAGACCTTTATCATGAAGGGGTGTTGGATTTTGTCAAGTGCCTTTTCTGCATCCAGTGAGATGATCATGTGGTTTTTTTTCTTTGTGTTTGTTTATATGGTGTATTACATTGACAGACTTCCGTATGTTGAACCACCCTTGCATCCCTGGGATGAAGCCTATTTGATCATGGTGGATAATTGTTTTGATGTGTTCTTAGAGTCTGTTTGCCAGTATTTTACTGAGTATTTTTGCATCAATGTTCATGAGGGAGATTGGTCTGTAGTTCTCTTTCTTGGTTGCATCTTTGTTTGGCTTGGGAATCAGGGTAATTGTAGCCTCACAGAAGGAGTTGGGTAACGTTCCTTCCGTTTTTATTGTGTGGAACCATTTAAAGAGTATTGGTATTATCTCTTCTTTGAACATCTGGGAATACTGCGTTGAAACCATCTGGTCCTGTGCTTTTTTGTTTGGGAGACTTTTAATGTCTGTTTCTATTTCCTTAGGGGTTATTGGTATATTTAAATAGTTTATCTGGTCTTGATTTAACTTAGGTATGTGGTACCTATCCAGAAAATTTTCCATTTCTTTTAGATTTTCCAGTTTTGTGGTGTAGAGGTTTTTGAAGTATGACCTGATGATTCTCTGGATTTCCTCAATGTTAGTTGTTATATCTCCCTTTTCATTTCTGATTTTATATGTGATTTAAGCTTTAGTAGTGTTTCTTTTACATACGTGGGTGCCCTTGTGTTTGGGGCATAAATGTTCAGAATTGAAACTTCATCTTGGTGGATCTTTCCTGTAATGAGTATGTAATGTCCTTCTTGATCTCTTTTGATTTCTTTTAGT